TGGATTCTCAGGCACAGAAGAAGAGGTATTCTTCGGGAAACCAGGTACTTGATGGTGCTTCCCTAGTTCTGTTCCAGACTTGCAGCATAGTCTTTGCCCACCCTGTTTCTCCCTCTTCTTGCTCCTTGACTCGGCTTGCACCTCTGGCAGCTAATGGAATGGCAGAGCTTGGCACGGTGATTGACCACCCCCGGCTAGGTCAGGCCCCTCTGTCTCTCCCTTCTCCTCTATAGATGTGATGGTGAACAGGGCATCTTTCTTCGATGGTTTTTCCCTGCGTCTTGGAGAGGTCTCAAGCTCCAGATCCCCCATTTCAGATTCCTCACGTGGCTGGAATCGGTAAAACCAGAGGGTAGTCTAGGGCTGCGTTTCTCAACCTTGGCAACTTTGAGATGAGTGGACCTCAGCTCTCAAAATCCCCCAGCAGGCTGGCTGGGGAATTCTGGGAGTTGAAGTCCGCACCTCAAAGTTGCCAATGTTGAAAAGCACTGGTCTAGGGTGCACTTGGCCAAAGAGATATTGCAGGCCTCTTCCCTCCGTGCTCTTTGGCTGTGAGAATTTCAACTCCCAGAATTCCCTAGCCAGCATGGCCACTGTGAGGATTCTGGGAGTTTGCCTTCACACATCTGGTGGGTGCCTAGTTCTGAGGGCCTCTGTTTGTACTGCTTCCTTCCAAGAGTCAGCAATGCTGAGTTGTTCAGTGCTGCAGGAACCTGGGGAGAGGCTCAAGCTATGTCTTGTACCATGTCCACAGGATAATACGTATTCAGAAGAGAAAATGCATTTTCCACCGAGGGAGCTGCAACTGCTGGGCAGATTCAGGGAAACTGGCACGAGAGCTTGAGTGGGGTCTAACGAAAAGGGGTCTGCGGCTTAGGACAAAGCCTTCACGCAACGCATAACTAACCTGTGGGACTGGTTGCCACAAGGCGTGATGACAGCGGCTGGCTTAGATGACATTGAAAGGCCTGAGAAGGGCGGCCTGCAGCATAGCAGGGTGAAACACACAGAGGTGCTCCCTAGGTCCTGGGGCCTGCTTGCAGGAGGGGGGAGCCTCTTGCTTTCCTCCTCCCCAAATCCTGCCCACCTTGGCATCACAGTCTTTCAATCAAATGCCTTTGTAGGGCTGTCCCCATCCGGCTGCATTGCTTGCTTCTCAATTGTCTTGTCCTGAACTGTCTCGCTTTCCAAGACCGCTCATCCTGGTCTTGGCCTCTCCTGCTTGGCTTCATTGCATCCCGCCTTGCATGCTTCTTTCCCCTCCATTGAGGGTGAACCCGCACGAAAACAGCCGTTTGAATGGAAGCCGGTCTCTTCCTTCTGCTCCTCCTCCAGCGCGTGTTCCCGTATGTCTCAGCCATGGTCAGCAATGGGTCCCTTGCTTACGACCACGACAGGGACGGGAGGCCGACTGAACTCGGGGGTTGCACGGCCCTGGTGCGCAACCTGGACCACGACACGTTCCTGGTGATCCGCTACGTGAAGAGGAGGCTTACCGTGAGTTTCTGCATCTGTCAGTCGGACCCCTGGCTCCCTCGGTGTTGGGTCCCTTTCTTTTCCCACTTTCTGTCTTCGAAATGTAACTGTCGTCTTGTTAATGCAGGGAGATCTTTGAAGAATCTGTTGGTTTTGCCATCACCATCAAACCTGTTCCTGATTTGGGAATACTTTTATTCTTTTTCCCCCTCTGTTTTTTAATGTAATATTGGAAGTCATGTGAGTAGGTGGAACACAGGAAAACACAGCCTCTTAGTCAATGTTTAAACAAGGA